TCTTCTTCTTTTTGTTTTCTTTCTTCTTCTTCTCTATGTCTTTTTTCTTCTTCTTTGATTGCTTTTTTATCTTCTTCTGACTCCTTTGAAACTTCATTTTGTTCCAACCTAGGTGGTTTAGATGGAACAGGTGGTGGTACATCACTAACCTCTTCTGGTGGAACAGTACCGAGAAGTCTAGTTGGTTTACTAGGTACAGCAGGAACATTTTGTAATGTCTGTTCTGGAGGAATAGCAAGGGGACTATTCCTTTGTCCTCGTTGGGTCATGTTAATAATAGGTCTTCTTTTAACTGGACTGTCTTCATTATCTTCAGAACTTGGAGCACTTTCCTTCATTAACCCACTTCTTGGCTTAGGAGGTACGGGAGGTAACGTTCCATCATCAAAAACAGGTTTAATGCTTTCTTCTGTTGGTCTTCTTTGACGACCAACAACAATCCTTGTTTTACTTTCAGACCCTTCTTTATTTTCAGAGACTCGAGCTAATACATCTTCAACAAGTTCATTTCTTGAACGTGTTGGTTTAGTAACTTTCATGAAAGCACTTTGAGCCTGTCTTCCAATTCTAAATTTTGAAGCAACTGTTCTTCTTGGAATAGTTCTGTTTTCTCTCATTGTACCTCTTCTCTTTCTCATTGCTTTTAATGGGAATTCTACTCCAAACATTTTTACCATTGTTACATCAATATCTTCTTTTTCTTTCTTTTCTCCAAAGAAATTTGGTTCTTCTTGTTCAACTTTAGCTCGAGTAGCATAAACAGGATCTTTTTGGTCTTTTAATAACATTGAATAACCAATTAAAGCACTTGGCCTATGAGCAGTACCACGAGAATTTTGAATTTTTTGACGTTCAGATTTAATATCAAATGGTTTGCATTGATTGATTAATGATAAAATACTCTTTTTAGCTTCTTCAGTTCCATTATCATTACACAACCCAATAGAAAATATTCTTTCTTTACTTTCATTTCCTTTCATTTCTTTAATTTGTTTATCAATCATTTGTTCAATAGAAGAAGTATTTTCTGGTTTATTAAATAATTCACTTCTATGATGTGTTAAATTTCCTTTCTCTTTTGGTTTTTCTAATTCTTTTAATACTGCCCTTTGTGTATTTTTTTCACTTTGAATAAGTAATCTTGATGCATTACCTTCACATTTAATAAACTGATTTTTAACTCTAACTTGAGCATCATCTATACGTTGTGCTAAATGTCCATCATTCATTTCTCTTCTAACACCTTTAAATGTATTAACTTTCTTTTTCTCTTCTTCTAAAAGATTATTTTCTTCTTCTTTCTTTTTTAATACTCTTTTCCATCTTTCTTCTTTCATTCTATCATTTTGTTGGAAATTTGCTTTATGTTTATCGAAATGATTAATAACATCTTTAAAATATCCAGTAAATTCTTTTCTACTTAAAGGAATTTCAACAGTAATTTTTCTCATTCTATTTGTTTCTTCTTCAAAGAATAATTTAAAATTAAATGAACGTTGTTTAGCATTCTCCATAACATTAACCATAGAAGGTATTTGTTTATCAAAATATGTTTGTTCAACCCATTTACTAACATCAATTCTAAATACAGGAATAGTTCCATCTGCATTTTCTTCAATAGCTTGAATTTCAATATCACTTTCTTCATCACTTTCATCACTTTCTACTTCTAGTGGACTTAATGTTTGTTTAACTCTACTTTGTTCAATTAAAGTTTTCACATAATTTAAATAATTTTCTCCACGTTGTCTTTCTTCCATTTGTTCAAATCCAGTCTTTCTACTCATAAATAAGAAATTACGATAAAAATTACATATAGCAAGTTCTTTTTTAAGTCTAACTTCTTTTTCTGCTTTAAAGTTAGCTTTCATTTCTCTAAGTCTTCTTTTTTCCATTTCAATTTCTTTTTGTTGTTTTTTTCCAATCTCTTTTTCTTTTTGAATTTCATTATCATCAAGAATTTCATCAAGCATATAATATGACCGTGATGATAATCTCATTAATACTTTCTTTTGTTCATCTTTAGACATTTTTACTCCATTTAATGTAATATCAGCAGTTATTCCTGTTTGAAAAATTGGCATTACAGTAGATATATTCATTTTAAAAGAGTCATCTGCACAAATTGAATTTCCATTTAACATAACATCTTTTAAATTATACATTTTAGAAAATACTTTCTCAAAATCAGTAAAATATTTAATTTGGTTATTTGCTAACCATAACCTTTCTAGTCCATAGAAATTACTTAATGGTAAAATATTTGATATTTTATTGTCATTTAATTCTAATTTACTTATTGAACCAACTACAGTTAATCTAATTGATGCTATTTTATTATTATTTAATTTAAGATGTTCTAATGGTCTTTCTCCAATATTTTCTAATACTTCAATTTCGTTATTACTAAGGTCAAGTAATAATAATTCTGGGAAAAAGTCTTCAATAAATAACCCATCATCTATTGACCTAATACCTGCATTTAAAATTGTTAAATATTGTAATTGTTTCCAAACTACACTTCCTCCACTAACTAAAAATTCTCTAAGATTATCAATTTTTACTTTGTCTAATGACAATGTAATTAATACTTCTGGAATATTATATTTATTAATTTCTAATTGATACCTTAATTTTTCAAATTGAAGCTCTTCAATTGCACAGTATTGGAGGAAAAATAATGGTAATATTGGTATTTCTGTTCTTACTATTTCTGGACTCTCTGACTCTTCTTCATTACCTTTTATTAATATTTTTTTAATTTGTTCAAATTCATTTTGTAACATATCCATTGTTCCATATGAAGGATTAGTTAATCCATTAAATAATTGAACAGTAGCAGGATTTAATTCTATTCTTCCTTTTTTCTTTCCTTCTTCAATTTGTTCTTTAAATTTGATTAATTCCTTTTCAAAAATCTCGACAAATTGTTGGTTATCAATACCAACACAATCACCCATATCACAATGATAATAAAAAATCTTATAATTACTTTTTTTTCTTTTTTTTTATCTTAAAATCTATTTTTAAGTTCATTTAATACAAATTAAAGTTTTATATAACAATAAAATGAATCATTTACATCATATCAATCTCTTGTTCTTTGAACTGTCTAAAATCTTTATGAGTTGGTAATGAATGAATCGGAACAGCTCTTTGAACATAAGGATGTTGGAAAAATTCTTCCCAACTACAACGATCTGCTTCTTTGTGAGTGATGAGATGACAAATTAAATCTTTAAGCATTGGGTCAATAATAACATCTGAGGGAAATTGTAATGGTTCTTCTCTTCTCATTTTTTCTAAGAAGACATCTTTATCATCACTAAATGGAAATTGGTTTGTAGCTAATACATATAAAATAACACCAACACTATATAAATCTGATTTAACAGTATATCCCTTTTCATTTAATATTTCTGGAGAAGCGTAAATAGGAGTTCCAAGGAAACTAGTAATCAATTGGCTTTCAGTCCCAAAGATTCTTGAAAATCCATAATCAGTAATCTTTAATCGAGGAAGTTTTTGATTAATTTGAGTTGGTGTTTTTAATAAAAAATTATCAAGTTTAAGGTCTCTATGAAGAAGATGTTTATTAAAATGAAGATACCATAAACCACTACAAATTTCTGATAAAAAATGAAGTATTTCAAAATCTTGTAAAGGTCTTTTTTTTGCATGTAAATATGTTTCTAAAGTTCCTCTATCACAATATTCCATTACAAGATAAGAATATTTTCCTTGTTTTCCACCTTCACAAATAGAATAAGGTAATTCAAAATAATCATAGTAATCTACTAAATTTGGATGTTTACACATTCTCATAACACGCGCTTCTCTTATTACTGAATCCCTTCCAGTATAAGGAATTTCTTTAATTGCAACTGGAGTTTTATCTCCATTAATAATACGTAATGCATATATTACAGTTCCATAACTTCCTTTACCAACAATTTTAATAGGATGATAAATACTTGGATCAGATGGTTTTCCCCATTTAAATTTTCTACATTTCTCAATAAAAGGATGAACAAAAAATTGGTCTAAAGATATTCGTTTATTTGGGTCATATACTAACATTCGTTTAATAAGATCTTTAAATAATTCATCATTAATAGAAGGAAATTCTATTGGTTTCATATGAAGAATATTATACATTATATCTGTTTTTCCAATTTCTAATGGATGATGTCCATGAACTAACATAAAAAAAATTACTCCAATAGACCAAATAACTGAGTTATCAAAAATTTTCTTTTTAAGATATTCTGGTGGATTATAATAACAATTTTTATAAAACAATTCTTCTAAGTCAGTTACTAAAGAAAATAAATTTGTTAATTTAATAAGAGGAATAGGACTTGAAGGATCTCTAGTTAAAAGAAGATGTTCTGGGGTTAAAGAATATTGAAATAATGAATAATTTTTAGAAAGATATTCAATGGCATAAGAAATATCACACATAAAAAACATTGTTTGTTCATTAACTCCAAAAGAAGTATTAGAACGAATAAAAGATAAAAGGTCCATTTGAGTACATTTTTCCATAACAATCCAAAATTGTAATGATCCATTAAAATAACAAAAAAAACAATTATATATTTTAATAATATTTATATGTTCACATTGTTGTAATAATCTTAATGCTTCACTATATTGTAATACAATATCTTTTTTATTCATATTAATTAAATGTCTTTTAATTACAACTGTTCTTGCTCCTTGAGGTGATTTTTCAATTGCATTTTGTATAACTGAATCTTTATTTGAATGAATAACTTCTTGTAGAGTATAACGATTAATTTCACTTTCTGATGCAAGAGTGATATTAACTCTTTCTTTATTCATATCTTTCTTTATTTAAACTTCATCTTTTTAAGTTCTTTTTTTTTTAATTAAATTATAATTTATTATAGTTTATTTTATTATAAATTGTTTTTTTTTTGTTATTGAGAAGAATTTTCCTCTTTCATTTCAAAGAAGTTTAAAACTAACAAAGAAACTTGTTGTTTAAAACTAATTTAGTTTTAATTGTTTTTGTTTTCTTAATGAATCACTGAGTGAATATA